AGAGTCCGAGTCAATGTAAAGCTCTGTTGATGATAATGTGCCAAATTATGAAGTAGTATTTGTCATTCAAACCATTTAAAGTGTCTTTATCACTAATGTGCTGTTTTATTATGGACCTATTTGCAGACTGACATACTTGAATCTTAATGGAAAGTTAATGGAAAGTTCTGGGAAAAATGGAGATTAGGAGCTGTGTTTGACTTGATAAAAGGACCCTGCAGTGCATATATAAAGACATGTCGCTCTTAATGATGATGTATCCGCCATTGAAGTGACCATGAAGTGGCTGTTTGTCGCGCTGGCTTGTGTGGCTCTTTCTGAGGGATTCGTCAGGTGAGCTTCTTCATCTTCTCTGCAATTCACGAATTAAGTATATTATAAAAAACGCTTTCACTCATAGCGTTCTGAATAAGCAGCAATGTTACCATGATGTTAAGGCCAGCACAGTAGGTCCGTCCATGTTTTTTTTCTCCCAGAATCCCTCTGAAGAAGACCAAGTCTATCAGGTCCCGTCTGAGGGAGCATGGGGTGCACCTGCCCTACACTGATCCAGCCCTCAAGTACGAACCCTACAGATCTCTGGCCTCATCCGTCATTCAGCCCTTGAACAACTATGCTGATGTAAGTGATCCCTCACTTTCACGTGAAGGAGGGCAGAGATGATTCAGTATTTGAAATCAACCACAGAATGAATAGTATTGAGGTGCAGTCTGAGGTGTTAAGGATAACGGGGTACAATGTTGGGTCTTCCTAGACGACATATTACGGACCCATCACCGCTGGGACTCCACCACAATCTTTCCAAGTCCTGTTCGATACCGGCTCAGCCAATCTGTGGGTAGACTCAACTTACTGCAACACTCAGGCCTGCGGTAAGTCTCGTGGATATCTCATCACCCATCTTTGATACCTCACCTCAAAATTCTCGTTTTACCTTGGCTGCATCTTCAAAGCTCAACTCTACACTCTTACAGGCAAACCTGTGCCCTCAGAAAATGCACATTGCCAAAGGGGTTATATCATGACTGAAAATATCACATTAACTCTGAATATGAAATTGACAGGTTATTTAAAAAGCATACTAAACATTTTTTTGTACTAATTTTTTTCTGATTTTGTCTTAAGTTCAGGTCAAAGTTGGCATTTTTATTCTTAGTTTCAAAAAGATTTTTTTACTCCATAAATGAAAAATCTCTAAAAAAAACATTGTTGTTTTTATAGTATCCCACACTCAGTTTAACCCCAAAGAGTCCAGCACCTACTACAGCAACGGTGAAACCTTCTATCTTCCATATGGAGCTGGAAGCCTTAATGGTGTCTTTGGCTATGACATGGTCAATGTGAGTCTGATCCATTAAATAAAGACATATTTGAAAATGCTCATTTTGATGTGACTGTCCCCTTTAACCTTTTTATTGAGAGATAAAGGTCCTGCCTGCGCCCATTCTTCCCAGGATAGGCTTTGACCAATAAAAAAATGTTGTATTGTTGTCTCCAGGTTGGGGGGATTGTCATCAAAGACCAGCAGATTGGCCTGAGCACCAGTGAACCTGGCGAGAACTGGGTGGTGGCTCCATTTGATGGTATCCTGGGACTGTCTTACCCATCCATTGCTGCCGGAGGACAGACCCCTGTGATGGACAGCATGATGCAGGATAACCTGCTCCAGCAGGACATTTTTGCCTTCTACTTAACTGCGTACGGCAAACTAAATCTGTCTAGTATTCAGAATTGCACTCAAATATTCCTCATTGGTCTGTTATTTGTCCTATCATCCACCCTGCACCTGTCATCCACCCTGCACCTGTGCTCTACCCTGCACCTGTGCCATAAGAATTTCACTGTGTTCCTCAGAACATGTGACAATAAAATGTTGAAACTGACGGACTGCAGCGAGGGCTCTCTGAAGGTTTATGAATGACTGTCACTGACTGCCTTCATGTCCCCGGACAGAAATGAAGCGGAGGGCAGTGAGGTGGCTTTTGGTGGAGTCGATACCTCCAAGTACCAGGGCCAGATCTACTGGACTCCAGTCACCGCAGAGACCTACTGGCAGATCGCCATCAATGGGTTTGTACCCATTTAATACTTATTCCACCCCTCTGAACATTTGGATAAAACATTTTACTGTGCTTTAATGTTGATCATACAATGGCACTTTTGGATTATTGAATCTGATTGGTCAGAAGGGTTTGCAGTCACTTTCTATAACTGTACGTGTAGTTACAGCCAGGTGAGTCACAGTAGTAAATCAATGAACCAAAATTAACGGAAACAAAGTGGAAAAACGAAAGTGCTTTGGGCTTGTAACATGAAAATAAAGTCTTTAGGTACAAACCTGCAAGCCAAATGTGTAGTAAGCAGTGCGTTATATGTTTTTAAATGCGCAAAGAACAACCTTACATGCATTAACTCTTACATAAATCCCTATTATGGTTCTTCCTGTCAGTCCATTTCTGTTTTCTGACTTAGCAATCTGGCCTCTCCAGGTTCCTGATCAACAACCAGGCAACAGGCTGGTGCAGCTCGGGCTGCCAGGCCATCGTGGATACGGGCACCTCCCAGCTCACCTGCCCCCAGCAGTACCTCGGTTATCTGATGCAGAGTATTGGTGCCCAAGCCAACCAGAATGGGGGGGTAAGGATCTCGCAGGGATAAGGAATTGTCAGAAAAGACTGATATACAAGAGACATTACAGAGATACATTAGCCTATTTAAACTCAATAGCTATTAGCTATATCTGTTGATTTAATGGAGAAATGCACAAGCCAATGAATATAGAAAGATGTTCTTATGATGCTGTTCAACCAAATAGTTACTTCAGCATTAGTTCAAATACAAGAACTCGTGGCCATAAGTGAAAATTAACGGGAGAACATTTCAAACTGGACTTAAGGAATAGTCTTCCTGATAACGTAGTGCAAGCTGAATCCTTGGGTTCCTTTAAATCAGAGCTAGATAAGATTTTAACAACTCTGAGCTATTAG